CCTGAAGGGTGACTCATTGGTGATGCCTGCACGCCCTACTGCTACCAAACCAGCCAGAGAGCCTCTCCATCATGTTCCGCAACAAGAATGGCCAATGAAACACAAAGATAAAGAATTCTCCCCAGACTAAAGGGTTTTTAGGACCCCGTAGGGTTAATATGTCCTTGAGACATATTAATGTGGCCTGGCTGGTATGGCTCAGCGGTTGAGCGTCGACCCAGGAACTAATAGGTTGTTGGTGTGATTCCCGGTCAGAGCACATTCCTGGGTTGCGGGCTTGATCCCCAGTAGGGGCCATGCAGGAGCAGCCGATTGATGAAGTTCCTCTCTCATTGATGTTTCTATCTCTCTGTCCCTCTCCCTTTCTCTCTCTCTAAAAATCAATAAAAACAGATTTTTAAAAAAAGAGTTAATATGGTGCCACCACAAGGGCTCAGGGGAGTTGAGACCCATGGGCCTGACTAAATACCGTCTCATAACCCTGCTAGCAGCATTGGTGGGTGAGGAGACAACGTTCTTATCCCAACACAGGACCTTTCTGTGACTAAATGGTCACTTCATATAATTCAAAACTCCTTTCCTGAGATGTTAACTGTAATGGGTTTGGAAGGAATACTGTTTGTCAAGACTAACGCATTTCTAGGGGCGGCTCAAGACTACGTCTGATGTAGTGGCTGTGCTCCTTAACTCCGGCTCTGCTGCTTGAGGAACACGTATGTCAGTGTCCTTACCTTTACTCCACAGTCCCGCTCTATTTCTTTTTTCTTTTTAAAATTATATTTTATTGATTTTTTACAGAGAGGAAGGGAGAGGGATAGAGAGTTAGAAACAGCGATGAGAGAGGAACATCGATCAGCTGCCTCCTGCACACCCCGCACTGGGGATATGCCCGCAACCAAGGTACATGCCCTTGACCGGAATCGAACCCGGGACCCTTCGGTCCGCAGGCCGACGCTCTATCCGCTGAGCCAAACCAGTCAGGGCTCTATTTCTTTTCTTTTCTTTTTTTTTTTTAATTAAATCTTTATTGTTCAGATTATTACATTTGTTCCTCTTTTTTCCCCCCCATAACTCCCCTCCTCCCAGTTCCCGCCCCGCCCTCCACCCTCACTCCCCACCTACTGTCCTCATCCATAGGTGCACGATATTTGTCCAGTCTCTTCCCGCATCTCCCACACCCCTTTCCCCCCCAAGAATAGTCAGTCCATTCCCTTTCTATGTCCCTGATTCTATTATGATCACCAGATTATTTATTCACTTGATTCTTAGATTCACTTGTTGATAGATGCATGTTTGTTGTTCATAATTTGTATCTTTACCTTTTTCTTCTTCTTCCTGTTCTTAAAGGATACCTTTCAGCATTTCATATAATACTGGTTTGGTGATGATGAACTCCTTTAGCTTTTCCTTATCTGTGAAGCTCTTTATCTGACCTTCAGTTCTGAATGATAGCTTTGCTGGATAAAGTAATCTTGGTTGTAGGTTCTTGGTATTCATCACTTTGAATATTTCTTGCCATTCCCTTCTGGCCTGCAAAGTTTCTGTTGAGAAATCAGCTGACAGTCGTATGGGTATTCCCTTGTAGGTAACTGAGTTTCTTTCTCTTGCTGCCTTTAAGAGTCTCTCTTTGTCTTTTGCTCTTGGCATTTTAATTATGATGTGTCTTGGTGTGGTCCTCTTTGGGTTCCTTTTGTTTGGGGTTCTCTGCGCTTCCTGGACCTGTAAGTCTATTTCTTTCACCAGGTAGGGGAAGTTTTCTGTCATTATTTCTTCAAATAGGTTTTCAATATCTTGGTCTCTCTCATCTTCTGGCACCCCTATAATTCTGATGTTGGTACGCTTGAAGCTGTCCCAGAGGCTCCTTACACTATCTTCGTATTTTCGGATTCTTTTTTCATTTTGCTTTTCCAGTTGGGTGTTTTTTGCTTCTTCGCATTTCAAATCTTTGCCTTGATTCTTGCGCTCCTCTGGTCTGCTGTTGGGAGTCTGTATAGTATTCTTTATTTCAGTCCATGTATGCTTAATTTCTAGTTGGTTCTTTATCATAACATCGAGGGTCTCATTAGATTTCTTGAGGATCTCACTACATTTATCGACGGCTTCTAGACAGTTCTTAAGAGACCTTAAAAGTGTGGTTCTGAACTCAGTATCCTCCATTGACAGTTTTGTCCTGTTTCTTTGTCTCCGCATTTTTTATGCTTTCTTGGTGCACCCCCTAGTGGTCTTTGTGCGCAGTCTTGTTGTAGTTAAGCCTTGATTGTTGTCGGCAATACCAGGGGTGATTTGACCTCCAGGCTAACTGGCTATGAGAGTCCCTCTATTTCTTTTTTATTGCTCATTTTAAACAAGGGTAACCTGGCATGCTGGTTTCAAAATAAATAAAGCTATAGTAAATGAGTTGGACAAAGCACCTTTTTAGAGAAGATGGCTGACAATTTATTGCTCTCTGGCAAATATAGGTAATGCAGTTCCTTTTTATTGGTCCAAACAGTCATCAGTTTAAAAGACATGACAAGCTGTATCTGGCATGTAAACTCATGTTTGTTCTAAGCCCTTATTTTGTCCATTAAGCTCCATGTTATTGTCTTTAAAAAAAAAATCAAGTTCTATTTTCCATGTCACAGGGAAGCAGCAAGAGGAGACATGTGAAGGTTTTAAACTAGCAGAGTAGGAGCATCGCTTTGGGAGGCTTTCAGTGTTACCAGGGAGGCCCTGGAGGGAGGAGGGCGCTTGACCTGCCGAGAAGCACAAGGTGCCTTCATGCCTCCTGACCTAATTCTACACTCATTTCACAGCGTCTCGTCTCAGAGATGCTGCATCTATAGAGATTGTCTTAGCATCTTAAAAACAAAGGAAATTCCCTATGCAGGTCCCGAATGAGAGGCAGCAGGTTTGCATGTAAAGGGCATGGGTTCTATGCTCAGCGAGAAAGGTTTCAGTCCTGCCCCTGACAAAACTCAGGCTAATTACCGAGCCACTATCAGCTCATGATTCCTTTTTTCTTAATCCTCACCCGAGGAGTGAGGACATTTTTTCCATTGATTTTTCAGAGAGAGTGGAAGGGAGGAGGGGGTAGGAGGACAAGGAGGACGAAGAGGAGAGAGAAAGAGAGAGATCTACACGAGAGAGACACAGTGATTGGTTGCCTCCCGTTTGAGCCCCGACCTAGACCCGGGATTGAACCTGCAACCAAAGTATGTGCCCTTGATGGGGAATCGAACCCTTGACCCTTCAGTTTGCGGGCTGATGCTCTAACCACTGAGCCCCGATCAGGGCTCAGCTCATGATTCTTTCCTGCAACACGTGGCTGATGTTTACCTAAGTCGGTGGTGAGTAAACATTCCATAAAGGCGAGCGTGTTTATTTAACAGTCTTGGCTTCAGCTATACATACATCTGTAACGTCAATAAAAATGTCACATCTCCATATTTATGTAGCAAGGAGTGCAAACAGCATCCACCAATGTGCAAATTGTGGATATTACCATTGTTAGGGGAACCTGGAACTCAGTGAGACGGTGGCCTGCACTTAATGGTAGGAGCCGGATGGCATTTAGGTTCCTCTTTCTGGAGTTCAAATCAGTGTGAAGGTGAGATTCGGGTCCTCCCATGGTGACTGTCAGATTGCCAAGGTGTCTTGATCATGGGACAGAGAAACTTCGTTTGAAATTGAATGGCTCTGTCCAGCTGTCACCGTCTGTGATGGGGCCTCCCTCAGACGAGGACTGGCCGGTTATGGGGAAAGGGCTGTGATGTGCTGGAGAAAGCTGTCCGCATGCTGTGCCTGTGCGTTAGGAGTAAATCACAGAGCTCTCCTGCTGCTTGGGACTCTGTCTGTTGACATTAAAATGTGCTCACAACTTATAAAAATCATTAAGGATCCCATTTGCACCTCCCTGGTGGGAAGCTGAGAAATAAAACCACACCAGCCAGCGTACATTTCAAATATTTACAATGCTGTACTTGCCCTCCAGGCACTGCGCTGGCAGTGTCCCTCTGGGAAATTAGTGCAGACACAGAATAGCCTTCTCCAAGGCCAGCATTTCATTAAAGAAACCTTAGTCGCTTCCTTCTGCTTTGTCCCCCAGAACCCTGACCTCTTGTCTCTGATGCTCATGCCAGAGAATAAGAAGGAAAAGGAAAAGAAAACAAAACACAAAACAAACAAACAACAATAAAAGAAAAAAATGACAAAAAAGAAAAAGAAAAAAGAAGGGAAAAGAAAAAGAAAAAAGAAGGGAAAAGAGAAGAAAAAGGAAAGGGAAGGGAGAGGGAAAGAGAGGGGAGGAGAGAGGAGGGTGGGACAAGGAAGGGGAGAGCACGTGGGAGGGGAGGTTACAAGGGGAGAGGGGAAGAGGAAATAGTCACTGGCCTTTAGCACTTTGCTTAGTAAATATTTACACGGAGAGGAACCTCCACTGGCGCACTTCTATTCTGAATCTCAGTTGAACTGTGTGGTTTCAGAAACAAGGGACAAAGTGTAGCAAGCATGCTGGCTTGTCAGTGTTCTGCATGAAGGAAAAACATGGAGAACAGCAATCTTTAATCCTCGAAGAATGCAAGACTAAAGGGAGACACGAAGACAATTCCTTAACAGTGAAAGCTGCCAAATGCTGGGGAAGGGCCGTGGAAGTGATTTTGGAATTTCTTCCCTAGAAGAATATGTCAAAATTTGGACATGTTTTTTCCCTTTCTGGGGTGTAGAAGAGGCCCATCTGCGGGTGAGAAGCACCGAGTCCCGAAAGCCTGGGACGTCTTTTGGTGGAAAGAAGGCAACGCTCTGGACAGGGGGTGTGGGCCACAAAGAGAGGTGGAAAGAGAAATCCAAGGAGAGCTTCTTGCTCCGGTCAAGATGTCAGCTCGATTAGCAGGCAGGGAGGCCTCCCCACCCCACCCCGTGACCGTAGATTGGCAGTGTCCTGAAAACATCTCCGCTCCTGTGCAGCAGCACCAGGACCAGGCACCGAACGCTCGTGTCACTGAGCTTGTCGCTGTTCTCAGATGGCAGGAATCACCACGGAGCTGACCATGCCCACCGGCGTCCCTGGAGTGAGCGCCTCCAGGCCCACGTGTCCTACATCAGGGCCCTGCACGCACCCCGGGGTCAGCTCCCTCTTTGCGTCCCGGTTGAGTTTGCAGTACGGAGCTACCTCACCGCAGGGGAAGAGCGGGAACAGCTCAGCAAGACAGGGAGGGTACTGCCTGGATGACCACATCCCTTTAAGAAAGTGAAAAAGCGCCTCATCAGAAGCGCAATCCGGACAGCACTGCCAGCCCTTGTATAAAGTGCATATCCCTCGTCAAGGTGCCACCTCTCACTGGAAAAAAAAGGGGTTGATGTATAAACCACATCCTTTCAAAGCAGATGATGATAATAATAATAACAGCTAACATTTAATGAGTATTTATTCTGTATTGGCATTGTGCTAACCACCTCACATATATTAGGCCATTTAATTCTCAAGGTAACCCCAAGACGTCAGCACTCCATCACCCTCATTTTATGGAAGTGAAATGGGGGCAGGTGGGCAGTCACTTGGCCAAAGTCCCAGGCTCCAGAGCAGCCAGGATTTGCTGCTGAGTCTCCCTGACTCCGGACTGTGCCCCCACAAATAACATGTTTCTCTCCACCAAGAGCGAGGCTTCCTTTTCTCTTCGTTTCTCGGGAGAGTGGGAGCGCACAAGGGGGGTTCTTCTCCTCACGGGATACTGGGAATAAGGTGGCCTCTGGGTTTTAAATGTGATGACATGGTTTTGTGACACTGCTTAATACAGAGGCATAGATGGATCTCTACCTGCTTCATTTCACCAAGGACTGGGCACCAGTCCCTGTTATTATGAGAACTGACATACAACATTGTTCTTCAGACACCCAACTGACCAAATTAATTCGTTTGCTAGCATATGCTTAAGAAACTATATATGGAACTATGCATATATGTACACACTCATACACATGATTTTAAGAAATTCTTTTTTTTTTAAAATATTTTTTATTGATTTTTTACAGAGAGGAAGGGAGAGAGATAGTCAGAAACATCGATAAGAGAGAAACATCGATCAGCCGCCTCCTGCACATCCCCCACCAGGGATGTGCCCGCAACCCAGGCACATGCCCTTGACCGGAATCGAACCCGGGACCCTTCAGTCCACAGGCTGACGCTCTATCCACTGAGCCAAACCGGTTTCGGCAAGAAATTCTTATATGAGCATTTACACACCCAAAACATTATTTTATATATTTTATATTTCTAGTGAGAGCATGTCATACTTTCAAGAATTTTTAAAAAATATATATTTTTATTGATTTCAGAGAGAAAGGGACATGGAGAGGGAGACAGATACATCAATGATGAGAGGGAATCATTGATTGGCTGCCTCCTGCATGCCCCACACTGGGGATCGAGGCCACAGGCCTGATGTGTGCCCTGACCGGGAATCGAACTGTGACCTCCTGGTTCATAGGTCGATGATACTCAACCACTGAGCCACGCTGGCTGGGCTTGAGAATGTTTTTATGTTCTCTTCTCCAACTGAACCCTTATATTAGCTTCCTGATGTAACCCTTGTGGAGATTATTATCTTTATTTTAAAAATGAAGAAGCAGCCTAGTCGATGTGGCTCAGTGGCTGAGCGTCGACTTATGAACTGGGAGGTTATGGTTCCATTCCAGTCAGGGCACATGCCCAGGTCATGGGCTTCATTCCTAGGTAGGGGCATGCAGGAGGCAGCCGATCAATGATTCTCTCTCATGTCTCTCTCCTTCTCTCTTCTTCTCTGAAATCAATTAAAATCTCTCTCTCTCTATAAAAGCCTAAGCAACTGTCTGACCATTCAACTGTCCAACTGGTAGCTATGACTCAAAATGACCACCAGGGGGCAGACGCTCAACACAGGAGCTACAGAGCTGCAGTGACTTGGCAGCTGTGGTTCTCGGGGGACACACCCAGAACCAGAGAGGAGGGAACCTGATTCTGGGAGCTTCACCTGAGAACCGCCCCTTTGCAATCCAGGACCCCTCGGGGTATTTTGGAGAGCCGGTTTTGGCCTGATCCTCACAGGCCAGGCCGAGGGACCCCATGCACTGGGCCTCTAGTATACAAAGAAGTGAAGAAGCAGAGTTTTAGTGAAGTAAAGTGATTTATCGAATGTTTCACAGCCAGCAGAACTGCAAAGGCAATTCAGTTCTCCTGCAATGCCAACTTCATTCTTTCATTTTGTAACCTTTGAGGTAAAGCAGTAGGAGCTGCTTTTGCTTTATTGCGGATGCCGCAATTTCTTTTGTTGAAAGCATGTGATTCTGTGTTCTTGTCATGTACGTACCCCATCTCAGGATGAATACACAGGGTGAGACAACCCGAAGCTCACAGACAAGTGTGCCGTGATGGGTGTGTACGCATTCCAGGGGGCCTGTCACCGTTTTCATTCAGGAGGCCTGGCGTGGGACCCAAGACTCTGCATTGCTAACCAGCCCCCCGTGCTGCCGACCCATTGCCCATACTGTGCGTGTAGAGAATCTGCGAAGTAACAGTTGACAGAGGAAATTGTCTGACAAGGAAAAGAATTTTCTGTTCTTGTTTTTTGTTTTTTTGTTTTTTAATGTGGGGGTGGTTAACCCAAGAAAGAGGCAGTGAAGTAACCATGACTCACCTCTATGTGTCCTTTGACTTTAATCTTCCTATGCCTCCTCGTCCCCACCTGCCACACAACACATGTGTTCACCTGGATATTCTTTCTCTTGATGGGGTTGTACACAACCTCCTTGTGTATCACTAAACGAGATTCTTTTGGGTTTATAAGCATCATCCTTTTAAAAAAATCCTCACCCAAGGATATGTTTTTATTGATTTGAGAGAGGAAGGGAAAGAGAGAAGGAGAGAGAGAGAGAGAGAGAGAGAGTGAGAACACATCGTTTGGTTGCCTCCCTTACATGCCCCGACTGGGGAGTGAACCCATGACCTTTTGGTGTACAAGATGACATTCCAACCGACTGAACCACCCAGCCAGGGCAATTATTTTTTGTTTTTAATTGTGGTAAAATATAAATAACATAGAACTTACCATCTTAACCATTTTTAAGTGCATAGTTAAGTACCATTAAGCATATTACATTGTTATGCAACCAATCTCCAGAACTTTTTAATCTCGAAAAACTGAGATTCTGTACCCATTAAACTCCCCCCAGTTCTCCCTCCCCCCAGCTTCTGGAAACCACCATGCTAAGCTTCCTCTTTTAAAGGGGCAATTATTTCAAAGAAATATTCTACTTTGCATTCATATAGTTGTTAGACAAAATGAAAGAGCACAAGATTTAGAGTCAGAAGAAGTGATTCCAAACTTTGTTTCCAGGTTATTTCTCCTAAAGTTCATTATGCATTTGCAAAATTGTGGGATTTCTTCCCTCTTTATTTCACAGAGCTGTTGTGAAGATCAAACGATGTAATAAATAGGTCTGAAACATTTGCAAACTATGAACTGCTACACAGAAGTTAAGTTCTTATTGTGATTATGCCAGAGCATGTGGCGTGAAGGACCAGGAGGTTTGGTGGGGAGAGCAACAGCTGTCTGAGATGAGAGGTCTTTCAAGGTGTTGGTGGAGAATCAAATTTCTCTGCTGCTTATGGGAGCGAGGTGGAGGTTCTTAGGGTGCTGCTGAAATAAGAATTTCCAGAAGCCCCCATGGGAGAATGAGATGTGGCGAAAGGCATTGTTTTTGTGGAGTTATATTCCTCAGGTTCCAAAGTCCCTGGCCCTTGAAGCCAGTCTTGAAAGAGGTACAGCTGAGGGTCCAGCAGAGCCCAAAGCAGGCCAGTGTCCAGAGCTTCCGTTCCATGGCGGAGTCGGGCGTAGTTCAGCATCCAGGCTCATTAAAGTCCATCAGTCCAAGTGCGGAGTCTGCAAGGCCACGAACCATGTGGGCACAGGGAGCCCACCCCCCGCAATAGGAGAGCCGGGAAGTGGCATGCTAGGGAGAGAGAGAGAGAGAGAGAGAGAGAGAGAGAGAGAGAGAGAGAGAGAGAACACTTCTTTGTCTAGAAGTTGAGAGAGAGAGAGAGAGAGAGAGAGAGAGAGAACACTTCTTTGTCTAGGAGTTTAAATATTCAGATTTTGTGTGCTTGCCACTGACTCTACTCCCAGGTGTGATTGACAGACAGCCCCTCCCCTGTCGCCCAGACCTTACTGGGCATCATCCAAGCTGCCTTTGTCCAGTCCCTTCCCCATTTGATCAGCGGGGACCAGACTTGGAGAGTATTGAATGCAGCTTTTTGGCAAAGCTGTGCAAATGGCATACCTATGTATCTGGTCTTCACCTTCCTCCTTTCCTGTTAAGTAGTAACCAGGTGATTACCACAGCATCAAAGGGAGAGGATGTCCTAGTCAGGGGCAGGGCAGACAGATATGCCTGCGTTTGGGGCTAGTCAGTGATACCTCTCACTTGAGAATTGGGAAACCAGTTTTAGAGAGAAGAGAGATGAGTGAGCCAGACAGATGGGTATGAGAATGCCACATTTCTTTTATTGATAAAGCAGTTTGGAGCAAGTGGCTTGTTCTCTGTATCTATGTGTCTCTTTCTGTTTTGCTTATTTATTTTGTTTTTCAGATTCCACATGTAAGTGAAATCATATGGTATTTGTCTTTTGCTGTCCGACTTATTTCTAGTCTCCATGTCTTTCGAATTAAGTAAAATATTAGGTATTTAGTTAGTTAGTTAGTTAAACCTTGCCCAAGGATATTTTTCCATTGATATTTAGGGAGAGTGGAAGAGAGAGGGAAAGACAGAGAGAAATACTGATGTGAGAGACATTGATTGGCTGCCTCCTGCATGAGCCCCGACCATGAGCCCGGACCACGGCCTGGGCCAGGGAGGAGCCTGCAACCAAGGTACGTGCCCTTGACTGGAATTGAACCTGGGACCCTTTGGTCCACAGGTCGACGCTCTACCCACTGAGCAAAACCATCTAGGGCAAATATTAGGTTTTTAAATCACTATGAACCAAATACACATTTTGGCAGAATTTATTCTGCTGCCTCTAATATGAATTCTGAATAAGTTCATCCAATGGTAGCCTATTTGTTCATATTTGTTCATTTTAAACTTCCCTATAGATCAGTAAGTGATTTTGTTTTCTCAGAAAGCAATTAGTATCAGCTGCTCTGTACCAAAGAGCACCACTGTCTCCCTCAGAGTAAAACCTTAAAGGGAAATGGTAGTTCAGATTCAACCAGGCGCTGGACCCACAAAGCACTGAAAAATCACTCCTTCCAAAAAATAAGCCAATTTCAAGTTGTTTAGTTGGGTTATGTAAGCATCATTTATAGGTGCTTTTCAGCAAAAATGGAAAGGCTTAGCCAATTTGCGTTTTTAAGAGAGCAGCTAGAATCATTGCCGACCCCCACCCCAAATTTAAGCATAAATGGATCACCAGATGATACTATTGTTTCTGGACAAAACACACAGACTGGGCATACTGTTATGTTTTCTCTAAAGAGGACAAATACATTGAAAAACAAACCCAACTGGCTTGTATTGTTCTTCTGATAAATCATGTTCAATTTCAACTCACCAACTTATGCCAGACATGCCTTACTACTCAAAACAAAGGGGAACCTGAAACTGTTTCCTTCGGGGGAAAACAGGCATTGAGGGCAACAGTCTATCAGGCCTGGACTGAATTACAAAACACTGACATTACAGTTTTGTAACATTTGTTTGTATAATGCTCAGATATCTCTACAGGAAAAATTATAAAACTAGCTAAACCCCTACTAAATGGATGTCCAAGATAATGCTTTCCATTTATTATTGAAACTAGAGGCCTGATGCACGAAATTCGTGGAAGAGGCTTGGCCCTCGCAGCTGCAGCGGCTTGCCTCTGCCCTCGCAGCCTATGCTTCATCCAGAAGGTTGTCTGGAAGGATGTTGGGAAGGTCGTTTGGCTGTCTGGTCTAATTAACATATTATGCTTTTATTATTATAGACTAGAGGCCCGGTGCAGGAAATTTGTGCACAGGGTGTGTGTGTCCCTCAGCCCAGCCTGCACCGTTTCCAATCTGGGACCCCTTGGGGGATGTCCCTGCGGGATCGGGCCTAAACCAGCAGTCGGACATCCCTCTCACAATCTGGAACCGCTGGCTCCTAACTGCTCACCTGTCTGCCTGCCTGATTGCCCCTAACTGCTTCTGCCTGCCAGTGTGATCACCCAGAATTGCCCTCCCCTGCCGGCCTGATCGCCCTCAACTGCATCGGGGAGGGGGCAGCAAAAAAATAGAAGACATACCTCCCTATTGCACATGAACCCTATATACAGGCCCACCTGGCCCAGGCTGGTGGGATGACTGGCACATTCTCAGATCCCTGCTCAGGGGCTGGAGGGGTGACTGGTGGCAGCACACGTGAGAGGGGACCTCTGGGTGACCACTCTGGTCCTGGCACTTCCTGGTCCTCGGTTCCTTCCTGGTCCTGCCTGCAGCCCTGGTCCCCCAGCCTGGCTCAGCCTCCCCTCTCCATCCTGGCCTCAGATGGCCCCCTTGGCTCCTGGGGGCTCTGTCCTCCCCTCCCAGCCTGGAGGTCCTGAGGGGAGGTTATGGCTTCTCAGAGACTCCCCAGCAGCCCTGCCACTCATGTTCACACAGGGGAAGGGGTGTGTGTGGCAGAAGCAGCTGTATAAATGCGGGTGCAGGGGAAAGTCCTCTGGGGTCACTTGGACAGTTTGCTGATGATGCGGATCAGGGCTGCGTTCTCATCCTTGAGGTGCTGGTTGTCAGCCGGGAGGTTGGACAGGCCCTTCATCTCCTCTTTCAGCTCAGCGGCCTTCTGCTCCAGGGCCCTGCGCTCAAATCTCTCCAGCTCCAGGAGGGCCGGCCTCTCTGCAAAGCGCTCCTGCCTCTGCATGGTGCGCTCCAGCTCCACCTTGAGCTGCACCAGCTGCAGCATGGTCTCAGTCAGGGCCTCACAAAGCTTCTCATTCTCAATGCGCAGCTCTGTGTAGAGCTTCCTGAAGCTCCCTCAGGCTCTTCCAATTCGGGCTGGGGTTCTGGGTTGAGGGCCTGCTTCCTCTGGAGGGGAAGGGCTGGATTCTGGGCTGATGTCCGCTGGCTTCGCCTCCTCCCCCCTCCACAGGCCCTCTCCTCTCCTTGCCAACTCTGCGGTGCTCCCTGAAGGCCTGTGGTCCCCGTTCCTGCCCCTCAGGCGCCTCTACTCTCTGGGCAGGGCCATCAGAATTCTCAGCCCCAGGGACTCGGGGCTGCCAGGAAGGGTCCAGGCTCTGTGCAGCCTGCTCTTGATCAGGATGGGAGAGTCTGATCAGGGGCAGGCCGGTGAGGGGAGCAGCCGTGAGGTTGGCCAGCCCCACCCCCTGATTGGGCTAGTTCGCTGGCTACAGTGGGCAGCAGTGGTGGTTCGCTGGAGGCTGGTGGGAGCCGCTGGTGCCTGCAGAAGGCAGGAGTGAGCCACCACCCGTGGGAGGTGGGAGGGAGCCCCCAGCGCCCGCGGGAGCCCGGGGGGGGGGGGGGGGGGAAGGAACCGAGAGGTCAGCAGTTCAGCCGGCTCGCCAATCAATGCCACCTCATGGCGACCGGTCGTTTGTTCATTTCGGTCGCCACGGCCCCTGGTTTTTTTATATATATGGATGGCTTTTAGCCAGACACCAGAAGCAAAACCAGAATTCTTTAAAATAAGCAAACATTCTTAGCATTTATTAAAACTGTTTTTAAATCTTGATTGTTTAGAGTTTTACTGTAATTCCTATTCATAAAGCCATTTTCATGACTTACTAACAAAAGTCTTTTCATCAGATTTCTGGACTGTACAGTGTTAAGGCGATGGCCTTTGATGGATGTTACCATGACAGTGAGACTGACATGGCCCAGGCTTCCTTTTCTCTCCACGCGGAGGAAGCCTCCTAGTCACAGGCAGCCCCAGCGCAGGTCCGTCTGGATAAAGGGAAGAAGATCCCTGGGGGCACGTTGGTAGAATCACTCTGGAGAACAGCCATGTCATTGACACCTGTTCACGGATTTTATTTCTCATTGTGTCTATTACATTTAATTTGTTTTACTGGGGTATATATGAGTGAAGAGAAATTCCCAACACATAAAACTTGTTTTAGAGTCAGAGTATATCAAACAACAGCTGACTATGAATTGGACAGTGCTAGACGGAACTGAGAGTCAGCAGCCACGGCTCCTGCCTACAGAAGATTTGAAAGTGGACTGACTTACATCCAGGAACATTTAAGGTCTTAGGAGGAGCTGGCCCCATCAGTGAGAGTCACAGGCATGCCTATTATGGAAAAACAATTCTACAGGGAAGGGCTTTGTAACTGCTCGTCTGGACCCCCTTCTTTCTAAATGTAAATTTTCTGTATTTATCTAGGGAATAAAACTGGACTGTGACTATAACATAAGGGGACTTGGTTCCTTAGTGGTAGCCAAGTGCCAAAATATCTGAGCTGAATCCTCCCCAGGAAGAACATCAATGTGAAGGTGTACTGTGGACACTCACACAGCTGAGCTTCCTCGAAGACCTTCCCTCCACCATTTCCCCTCGTGGCTTTTGTCTTATGGCATTGACACGCCCCTTATGTTATGGAGTCCAAGGGGTACAAAAAACTGTAAACTTTGCTCAGTCTTCCCATCCCAATATTAAAGTACAGTGGGGCCTTGACTTACGAGTGCCTTGACTAACGGGTTTTTTGAGATACAAGCTGCCTTTCGGCTGATATTTTGCTTTGAGTTGCGAGCTAAAATTCGGGTCATGAGCCAGCTTCAGAGACCCCACCGCTAGTTGGCGCAGCGAATGTCACAGTGAACGCCACAACATCAGCCCAGCATCACGTGTCTCACTTGTTCACTGTTGATTTGACATACGAGTAATTTGAGTTACGAGCTCCGTCACGGAACGAATTAAACTCGTAAGTCAAGGCCCCACTGTAATACGTCACACTGCAATGGCATCGTATGTTTTGTAGTTGGTATGGTTTTCATAGCTTTTGGAGGTATTTCATTAGTTACTTTATTCATCAAATGTTTATTGACCTGCAAGAACAGTGAGCTGGTAGCTGTACGAAGTGACAGACATAATGGGTGTTAGAGCAGAGGTAGGCACACCTCCTGAGTTCTGAAAAGGGAATCAAAAGAAGGAAAATGACACCCATGAAGGGATGTGGGCTCTCAATTTACAGACAACTGAAGATGCCTTCAGACGTGGTGCTGAGCAACAAATCGAATAAAATGTACTTATCCCATAGTGACCTTTGGCAACTTTGGTTGAACCAAGTAAATCAGGTCCAGTGGGTATTAAATAGACGTTGGTTAAGTAGAAAAACCTCCAATGATCCACATTCATGTTGTAGACGGGCAGTGTGCATACTTCTGTGTCGAGTATTTTGTGAAAAAGACTCCATTTAGAGACAAGGCCTTCATAGGAAGTATAAAATATTTCCCTTCCTATTTTGATTCCTGGGATTGAATTAAGGGAAATAAAAGCAGAGTATTACTTGCAGTGTTTTGTCATTTATTTCACCATAAAGTAAACCAAATTGATTTGAATTCTTTCATGTCAGGTAAAGAGGCAAATAACTTCTTCCTTGTTTCCAATAACATTGGTCTTGATTCTCTGCCATGAATGACATAGCATTCCGGAAACTTATGTTACCCTTGGGTAAAAAGATTTAAAAGCAAATTCTTTTTCTATTATGACTTCCCTCATGGGTGGGTTAATTCTGAGATACTTCATTTTCTTAAAAAATTTTTTTTATTGATTTCAGAGAGGAAGGGAGAGAGAGAGAGAGAGAGAGAGAGAGAGAGAGAGAGAGAGAGAAAGAGAAACATCAGTGATGAGAGAGAATCATTGATGGGCTGCCTTCTGCACACTAGCTACTGGGGATGGAGCCTGCAACCGGGCATATGCCCTGACCAGCAATGGAACTGTGACCTCCTGGCTCATAGGTAGACGCTCAGCCACTGAGCCATGCTGGCCAGGCTCATTTTATTTATTGATACAACTTTTCCAATTCTTTCAAAACTTTCCAAGGGCTATATTTTTCTAGGAAACTGTCCAAACTTGAGCTAATATAATTTATTTAAAACTTTTCTCCATTTAATTGTAGATAGACCTTAAATAAAATTTATAACTAACAGTTTTTAAGCCTGATGTAAAGGGGACAGTATTTTCTTTCATAGGGCTATATTTTTAAAAGACAGAACAGAGTAATATTTTAGGTGGTTCTTTAGGAATTTGTTGCAGTGATTTGAGCAGAGCACTGCAGTTGGATTAACATTTCTGATTCTGATATACTCTGTATATAATTGGTGTTTTGTTTTTTTTTAAAGGACAAATCTGTAAGTAAATAGAAAGAATCTACACTCTTCCCTTCTTCCAGCTCTGGTTCTTCTGACATTGCTGCTTCTCTTCTGCTTCGACCTACCACATTCAGGGTGTCCGATGCTTCCGCTGGGCACACCATTTCACAGTTTTCAGTCAGACGCGTGGCTGAATACACGGGGCCATCTCGGCTACAGGGCCGATCTCTCGCACTCCACACACACCCGGCGCTGCTCTCGAGCATTCATGCGCAGTGGTTGGCCCATCAAACATAACTTTGTTAATGTCCAGACACGCAGGCATTGTATTCTTCAGTGATAAATTTCTAACACTGAGAAATAACATTTGTTTACTGCTCTAGGGAATCATTAGCGCGTTCAGAACGAGCTCCCGGGACTTTAGCCAGTTTCTTCTCCTCAAATTGGTGGTGGCTTGTGAAGTCTATGAGGACAGGGCACTTCCCGTGAGCTTCATTTCTGTCAGGGAGCAACACAGTTTCTGGCTGAGTTCTTATTTCAAGCAGAATGAAATGCCGTTTACACGGGAGACGCATGAGTGATAGACAGCACGTAATGGTTACCTCATTTTGATTTTCACTTCATTTACCGATCACAATCCGAAACGGACTGTGTGTGATTGCTCACTGAGGGGTAAGCTGGGATAAAATGCAAGGATATCAGAAAATACACTGCTTTCTAAGATTAAGAAAGAGCCAGTCAACTCTAAATTGCCTAAATATAGAAATGGGCTCTTTTGTAGAACTGCTCTGGAAAAGCCAAAAAGAGGTATGTTTTTAACTTAATTTCATTATTTTTGTTCTGGTTAAAAAAATGAATACAATTTCATTATAAAAATTTAAAATACCAATTGGCAAAAGAAGAATCATCCACTCAGAATTAAACAGTTAACATTTTAATGTATGGTCTTAGAGTTTTCCTGTGCATATCGTATTTTTTCCAAATGAAACATTTATTACATTTATTACTTACATTTATTAATTTAAACACATATCATAACGAACACTGTGCTGGGGATATAGAAATGAAATATGGACCTAGTCCCTGACTCATTGAACTGCATTCTATTCAGAAATGTATCTAAGTTAAGCCATTTGTAATCAGACTTTCTTTTCTGGATCATAAACAAGTTTCTTTTATTTTACATTTTTTTCATAAACAATTGTTATGCCATTCTTTCCCATGCAAACTAACTTAAAAATGTTTTTATTGATTTCAGAGAGAGGAAGGGAGAGGGAGAAAGGGATAGAAACATCAATGACGAGAGAGACTCATTGAGTGGCCCCCTACTGGGATGTGCCCTGACTGGTAATTGAACTGTGACCTCCTGGTTCATGGGTTGACACTCAACCACGGGCCACACCAGCCCGCTGCAAACTAACTTTTAATGCTGTAGAGAAGTCCACTGAATGGGTTCACCTTAGTTTACTTAACCCGCCTCCTCCTGGGGGACATTTGCTTTATTTCCTATTGTATGCTATTATAATGGGTTGCAAGTAGCAACATATAGAATATTTAGACATAAAGTTATTTCAGAAACAAGTGAAATTCCTAGCTATATCCAAACCTCAGCCTTTATTTCCTTCGTAAGAATCCCTGTTTGCAACTAGAATCTGCCGTGTCTCCCAGGGGCTCTGGGGGATAGGTTTCTGTAGTTGAAGAAACTTTTTCAGTTTTAGTTTATTTTTTCCCCTCTATCATTTTGTATTGTGCCACTTATAAGCGTGTTCAAATCACACACACACACACGCAAAACATCCTCAAAGAATCAAGAGTAGGAGGTGGTAAGGAAATTGCTACTTCAAGTACAATTCTGTATCTGGTGCTGCCGGTATTTCCAGCAGGCCGTAGGTAAAGCAGTCCATGTTACTATATTAAATTTAACTCATTTATGGGATGGAGTCACCTACTTTGTCCTTGTAAACCTTGCTTTAAAACACTATCAAACTGTAAAGTCCTGGTCAATTTTAAAGTCATATCACTTCCCAATTGCTATGTTGACATTCCTCCATTTAACAAAAACTTGAACCTTCTTTTTCCTCTTAAAGACACTGTAAAAGACAAGATGCCCTGGATAACTCAGGAGAAGATTTTACCAGGCTATGGCCATAGGAAGGACTTTCATGAATGAGGAACGTTTCCAAGGAAGGGGCCTAGACATTCAGAGGCAGGTGACAAGGGAGTCACAGTCACTGAGGAAGAGAGTGGTGAGTCTTAGCTCAGAATTTATGAGAGCATGGTTGTCAGGTCTCAGAAAACAAATTAATGATGGGGGGAGGTGGGTAGGTGGATTTCTCCACTGAGTACCCAGGGGCTCAGTTAAAGTTCAACACTGCCAGTGGTCTCCCGTTTCAGTCAGCTGCTGACTCATACTTTTTGCTCTATGATGGAGCCAAGCCTGGAAGAGAGATCTCACAGTCACTGAGAAAAATAATAATACTTTTCTTTGGAATATATTGATACTTAATTTGTTGTTTGAAACATTGATCTAGGTTTTATTACTAATTAGGTCATTTGAAAGGTGAGCTATTACTTTAAATTCTAGGGTCAGTACATTATAGAAACATTTTCTACAGGAGGGCTTCCAAGGTTCCTACAAAAGTGTATAGTTGAGTACTCCCTGCCTTAGCCAATTAAAAGTAGATGAAAGTTGCCGTGTCTTTAGCAACATTGTAAAAACATATTTCCTACTATGAGGTAATAAGACTTTCTGAAGTTTGGTATACAAGTCTGT